GAGTGTCTCCTCCGATTTCAAAACTCTTTGAAAAGATGCTTTCATACAACGTGTGGTGAGGTCTTATCGGAAGAAAAGCTTTCAAGGTCTTAGTTCTGACCTTAAACCTTTAACTTATTTACCTCTTCCAGGCTGGAGTTGAACTGTTCGAGCAGCCAAGATCTGGGCCACTTCTCTGACTGATGTAAAGTGTTGTCATTTGAGTGCTGGGACAGCATTGGTACGAGTTCCTACCGGGAACGAATGAATTCATGTGTCTTAGTCGCATGTAAATCCTAAAAATTCTAAGGATAGATTGAATGAATCCTAAATGACGGCCGAAATGAAAACTGTTACAGGAGGAAAACATTATCCTCTATGCGCCGCGAGAAAGGAAATCTTCCAAATACGGTAGTACGAAACAGAAATCTAATTTCACTTTAATTCAACTCATCAACGACGACCAAACAACCGGCTTAATTGTGATAAATTGACTTCAGAATCACACCGAACTCAAAAGAAACTTTCGACTGATACTGGGTCATCTATCTTCCTTTAAGTTAAATGCCAGTAAAGTTTTTGGTTCCTCAATGCAACCGTTTTAAACATAAACCCCTATATTTCCACTAACCCGTGGTAACAAAATCTCTTTACTTCAGCTGCAACAGAAGCATATCCCCTTTTCTAGGTTATGTGCTTCTGGCTGTTCCGAACTTGGGCTACCACTGGTCCTCACCAAGGAATAATTATGGTACCCACCATAACGTAAAACAAATACAGCGATAACAAATTAAACCCGACCCTCTATCTGCAGAGTTCGGCGTGGAAACTATTAGGTACCACAACTAGCGAGAATAGCTTAGATAAAGACAATTGTCTCAGCCTTAAATATTAAAGCTTGCCAGTCTAAGGTTAGGCAAACAACGTAAATCACCTGTAATAAATGAATCATGTCTTTTCGACTGATGTCAACATCATTTTGTTGTTGTGTAAACCTAAGGAGTTAAAAGAGGTGTCTCTAA